TACTACGAAAAAATAGAGCCTTGAAGTCTCCTCAGTCCAAGGACTTAACCACCCCGTGCTCTCCATTAGCAAGCCACTCCCAAATATTTAACTCTAAGCAAGAATATTGTGCTTGCCATACAGAGACCTATTCCTACCCACTTTCCAAGTGGCTGGCAGTGGCTATCCCTCACAAGTGAGAAAAGCCCAGGCCCCAATAACATTGATGTCTTACTAGGCATCATTAAAGAATTTATAAAATAGTTGCATAAAACTCTTCTGTGAAAGTAATGTGCAGCTTTTATCAGTGGAAGGAGACATAATGTTCAGGCATAGTGGCCTTAGGCCACTTCCCATGAGGTTGTCTAACCCATCTCAGTGACCTGAAAGAATGTCCCTGAATGGCAGTCTAGCAAAGTAACCAATCAAAACAAGGTCCCTGGTAAAATCGCCTGGGGAAAAAAAAAAAGACTATGCATAAGAAACAGGCTCAAAATAATACATGTATTTAAAAGACATTTTCATAAAAAATGTGTTTGCGGGGGTGAGGGCATGTTTATTATTCACTTAAAGAAATGACACATTTTCCAAAGGTGCTTAACAAATGAGAGGTTAATTTGGGTATCCATCTAACTTTTAGGTTCTGAACTGTTCAACATTTTATTTTTCTAATGATGCAAGAGAGAGACATGCGCATACTTACATACTTAGAAGTATAGAAAATAACCATGAAAAAATTATCTCATTAAAATTGCTAATAGAAAAAAAAGTTTGGTGACACACTTCAATTTTAGCTACAACAGAAAAATACTATCTTACTTTTCAACCTCATGAAGGAAGCTTTTTATTAGTGAGGAGTAATATCTATCTGAAAGTGGCCTCCCGCTTTGTGATGCTTTGGTCACTAATATGTACCATAATAATGTGTGCCTTACTGGATTGTCAAGATTTGCCCTAAACATTAAAAGCCATATTACATTTGTAAAAGCATGTAATTGCAGTCAATTCTTTTGAAAGCGAATAAACTTTTCTCTCTATTATAGTCCTTTTTTTGGCAGCAGGTTGAGACGTATTTGACCCATGTCTGCTCTTAGAGCCAGTGATTATGAATCTGTCCTAATGAAGTGTCTGAAAGTTTCAACTGTTTATTTTAAATAACATTTGCCATTTTTCTTAATTAAGGTTTTAATATCGGTGATATGCAGAAAGTTTGGAAACCACATTAAAGTACAGAGGAAAAACAATTCTCAAATCACTCATTTCCCTCAGCTCTTGGCTCCATCACTAAATAATTTCAGAGCACCGTACTTTGATTATGATTATTGTTCTGTTTGTTCTCTGTTTTCTTATATTTTTCATTAGCCATTCCTTGGATCTTTCTGTTATAATTGCTTACAACATGCTTTCTTGTTTTGTCTTTTCCTTATAGTGAGATCTTAAGGATGGCTGTGTATCCTTTCTATTCATGTACTTATTCAACATATATTTACAAACACCTATTGTACATGTGAAATATTGCATGGGAATATAAGAGTCAGTAAGCAAAGCTCATATCCTTACAGAACTTACTAACTAGGGATAAAGTGCTTGAATTTTGGGCGTCAACCCATAATATCAGGAGCCATTCTTAATTCACCTTCCTGTCTATACAACCCAGCATGGGATCTGTTTCCCATCTGCGTGCACAATAGATAATAGATGGACACTTACATGTGATGAATAAATTAACTACTATTGAACAGATATTTATTTGTGACCTGTATTGTCAATTCCTGGTAGGAGAGATTGGATAAGTAGGATTGTGCTTGACTGGTTGTGAAATTCTGTATTGAGATGTAACATTTGTATCATGGTCAAGAGTTAGCAAACTGTTATTCCATTACTCAAAGCTTCCTTTGAAGCCCAAGTGAAGCAAGAAATAGGCTTTATTAAGAAAGAAAGAAGGTAGTGGTGGTATTTACATGGAGCTCTTACAATATTCAGCTATTCATCAAGAGAGAAAACATTTACTAACCCGTCATCTAAAACATGCTTATATTGTTCAAAAAAAACCATGGCCTTAACTACCAAGTGTCTATTTCATATTCTTAATGTGCAAATAATTATTTAGCTTCAAGCATAAGAAAAGATATAAAATGCAGTAGAAAATAAGTTCACAGACGAGTTAGATCCAGTTGTGTGTCAAAAGCTTTCAGTATACGTGGAAAGATGATTTCTCACACACATACACACACACACAACATATCTAGAGCCTTTCCCTGACTCTTCATCTGGGTAATTTGGTTTATCCTTAACGTCTCAAATTAAATGTCACTTTGTTAAATGGAATTTCCCTCAATCTCTAAATCAGTTTCTTCTTTACAGTTTTTCATGATACTCTGCATTTTTCTCATATAGCACTCATTATATTTATAATTACATTATATTTAGAAATATTTAGTATCTGTCTCCTCACTAGACTATAAACATGAAGTCTCAACACACCAGCAAAGTGTCTGCCTCAGAGTATGAGCTCAATGAGTAGTTATTGCATGCAGTAACTCTAATGTATGAAAGATGATGGCAGGGAAAAGGAGAGAAAAACAATGTGTGATGGGAATGTAATGGAAAGAGAAAGAGCATTAAATATGCGAGCTTAAAAAGGTTCCATGTAAAATCTGAAGTGGACTTTAAAGGATGTGTATGAGTAGCTTCATAGACACACCTGGAGGGGGTGATGCAGAAAAGACAGGTTGGAAGCATGAATAATCAGGGCCAGCATAGCATATCCATTAGACACTGTGCCCAGAACTCATGATACTTGAATGGACCCACAAAATATTTTAAATGTTAAAAGATTTTTAGGCAAAAAAAATAGAGAATATCATAATAATGATTTCAGTATATACCAATACTAGCATAAAATATAATTTTGAATATTTTTTATGGAGGAAGGAGCCCATGAAAGTCAGAATGCAGCCCTGGGAATGACATATTTGTTACATAGTAGATAGAATTTTGGCTAGAATCTGAAAAAGGAATAGAGGCTCTAACATTGAGGATTCAGATTGGTGTCAGGTCAAGGGAAGCCCAGAAGACAGGCTGAGGAGGTTCTTCCAACTTTGCTTTACCTTCAGAGACTTTCTGTCAGCTTTTGCTTGCAGGATGGCTTTAGGATGAGAATTATTGCAGGAAAAAATAGGATGCATTTGTTTTAGAAGTAGGACAAATAATCGAGGGCCTTGGATTATTTTAGATCTGTTTTAAAGAATATTTTTTAGTAGAAAGAGACAGAAAGGATGGGTGTTACAATCATCAAGATATATATTTACTCATGCATTTTAGATCATATGCAGAAAAGCTCATTTTCCCTATAGAAAACTCCCAAAGCCATAATTATGCATTTGCATTCCCTCTGTAGTGAGAGGATCCCTCCTCTCCTACATGGTCCCCATGTCAAACCTACTGCTGTATCCTTAGGAAACTGAACATGGAGACACTGAAGGAAACAAGAGATTTAGAGTCTTCTAGAAGTGTTACAACTATTGTAACTAAAACCACATCGTGACCAAATCATTCTAGTCATCAAAGCAAATGTCCAGAGTGTGATTATGTGACAGATACCTTCCAGTTGATTGATGGCTCAGTTATTCTGCAGAGCAAAATGGAGGTAACAACATATACACATACATTAATTCTAACTTACTTTAAAGTTAATTTTAAATGATTCTTTTTTCTAAGTTGGAAAATCTCTGCCTAAAGTCTATAGCCAAGTGTATATTCATAATCATAGCTTGCATATTTATATACAGAGAAAGTCACAATGACATAAAACCAGGTAATATGCATTGAATACAGTTGTGTTGTACGTGGATTTGTTAGCATTCTCATTAAGTGAATAATTTGTACACTTAGGGTGTACCAAGCCTTGTGCTAGGGGAGCACTGAGCCTAACAAGGCGGTTAAGGCAGAGCCTTAGGAGCCATGATGTTTACATCTGGTCTTGAGAGTGTAAATACTAGCCAGGTAGATCAAAGCAGAAGAGCAGGTACATTTTTTAAAAATTATAGGAATTAGACTTGTATTTAAAAGACTTTGTTAACCTTTTGGATATTAGTTTCCTTATCCATGATATGTGCTGATCATGTTTTGTATCACTGTTCAGCTGTTTTCCATGTTTGCTGACAACATGGAAAAGGAAAGAAACAAAAATCAGCACAAAGGTAATGAATTCCCTGATGTTGAAGAGAGAGGAAATACTCACTGTGAAATACTGATGTTAAATTAATTGCCTATCTATGTTTTAGAGGTTTTTTTTTTTTTTGGAAACAAGAATAGACGAAGTTGAGTCTTCTGGGAGCTTCAGAATTCTGGCTCTTTGATTTGATAACTTGAGAAGTATGAAGAATAGTAATGTTGTTAAGTCACTGAGATTATATTTAATACTTTATAAAGAAACTAAAACTTTTTATAGTGTTGAGATTATACCATGCAACCCCCAAAACATTCGTCATTCTATACCATCATATGAAGACTGAAAGGTGTCAAATAAGTCAATTGGCCATTTTTAGGCTCCTATATATTTCATTGACAATATTACTGAAATAAATTCAAGATAGAATTGACAGAATTGAGCCACCTTAGCAGTTTGAAAGCAGTTGAATTGTTCTCCCACTTTGCATGGCACCACTAGTTCTGGGCTGTCTTCAAAATGTTGATATCAAGATAGGAATTAAGTCTAAGTCGATGTTCCTCTTGAGGTTAAAGTTCTGCTTCTTTCAATCAGTTTGAACTGACAGGCCTCCTGCCATCACCTCCTCCTTAGCCAGGCAGACTGGCCCTGGCCGTCAGTGTGAAAACATCTGTTGAATGGATTTATTGACTAGATCTTGTTTTTTTCCTCCCTTTCTCTATTTTTTTTTCTTCACACCGTTTATTATGTCTCTGACCTGATGAACTTAATTTGTTGACATGTCGCTCTCAGTGTCTCCCTTAGTGCTTGTCTCATGTTTCTTTCTACTGTGCTCTTTTCTTGGCAACAGCCCTTCCTGGAGCCCCAGCACACACGTGCACTCTCGGTGCGCCAAGCTCAGCTGGCTGCGATTGGCATGGACGGATTAGAGAAACATCGCCTTGTCTCCAGGGCTCATTCCTCTCCCACTGCCTCCATTGTACCTCACCCAGCAATGGACCGCCCCCTCCTGCCTGGCTCTGCAACTGGTGAGAATCCCTAAAGACTTCCCCTAATAAGCAGGCTAAATGCACTGGTCTTGTGGGATTAAGCGATTTAAATGCTCTGAATAACTCCAATAGCAGAACGCTCCATTTTAACCCATTGCAACCCAAATTTTATGAGGTTATATTGGCCACAAGACAAATAGCACATCTGATAAATCTTGGTCTTAGTATTAATAGCCTCATAAATTGTTATCATTCATGGGCCTGGAAAACACATCAACAGGTGCATGAGTCCCTTTTGGAAACACAAATCCCTACCACATTCTTTAGCAGTGTTCCTCAGTCTCTTCCCTCTGGTAGTCCCGGCCACTGGGAAATTTATAACACCCTCTTCATTTGACTCCAGAGAGTGCTTCTCCTTCAGTTTGTTTATGTTGTTGTTTTGTTTATTTCACTGTTTCCTTCTGACTTCCCATACAAATGACTCATAGGAGACAGTGGTACCAAGGCAAAGCTTGTTTAATTCTACATACGTTAGTTCCATTTCCATCGGTTATAGCACTGATGAGTGGGCTATTTGACCACCCTCTTCCTTTGCCCACAGTTGTGTTTGATATTTCAGAACCTGGCTAGAAAGGAAAACAAACCTGGTAGTTCCAAGGCCAAAGGAAGGTCATGTCTGGAACACACACAAAAAAGGGGTGCTATTCCCTCATTAAAAAAGCTGTGCTGTAAATATCCATATGGATAAATACTCTTTTATATATGCTGGACCCTGTTCTTGTTCCATGCTCTCAGGCTGTAGCTGATCCAGTGAAACATTTTCTAGCCCTACGGAGCTCATAACCTGAAAGTAGCAAGGGGATAATTCATGTGTACCTTCCCCCAGAGTCTCTCACAGGTTATCTGATTTATTTTTGAATCAGTTTTTAGAATTCAGAGTTTGTTTTTGTGGCTTCTATGACCTCAAGTAACCTTGTGCTTGGAAAAGTAAAAATACTTTTTCTGAAATCACATTCCCAAGCCTTGATGTCATCTTTTATTTAAAAATCAATGAATGAAATGGCCAAGTTATTTAACTTTGATAGACATCTTTAATAAGTATGCATAGGAGCTACTTTTTGTAACATGTTACACCACAAGCCAGCATTCCATACTAGGAGCTACAATCTGAGTATATTTTTATATATTTCGTTTACCACGTTAGCCACTTCCTCTGATCCCCCTGCTTCTTGGAGCAAAGCAGACCTGCCCCGGTACCCTAGATGACCCAGGATTGTAGCCCAGTATCAGCGGAAGCTGCTTGGATCAGCCATGCCTGGTTCTATCCCTGGTCTTCAGAGGATTTTTGCTCAAAGCCAGATACATGATGTAGAGAAATACTTTTTGTAGATAATCAGAGCAGTAGCCTTTAAGAATTACTTCTCAGTTCTTTTTCACTAAAAATGTTTTTCAATCAGCCAGAAGCTTTCAGAGACACACTAACGACCATCCTATTATAATGCCGGTTCCATTCATTCAGAATCATTTCCTTAATTTAAAAGTGAGCTCGATTATAAAGTTTCATGTGCTGTTTCCACATGTGCTGCTGTCTGCTATTGTAATCCTACTGATAGTTTCTTTTCTTGGTTAAGAAGGGTGGCCCTTTCCAAACATGCTTTGGTTTCCTGTCCTTTTATGTGTCCCTTCAATATGAATGAAGCAAGACCTCTGATTATTAGAACAACCCTATTAGTTTGAGAAAACGTGTTGCCAGATGAACAGGGTTTGCGGGCCTTGAAGGAACCCAGGTTAAAGGGTGGACTGCAAAGCAAATAACGTAGCGTGACATAAACATAACCTAATCCTTCAAAGCGGAGACTGGGTCATTTCAGATGATTAGTTTCTTTCTCATAATGTCAACATCCTAGTATTTACCAGAGTTTAGATTCCAAACACAAATAGGGGAATGAACTTGAGTTTATTTTCATATTTAATGTACTTGATGAGGTATACTTCTTGCCTAAATGAGAGATTATATAAACTTATATTTTAAAGAACATAGGATTTTGTATTTAGTAGGCATTCAATAAATCTTATTTGAATCAACAAATATTAATTTGTATTATATATGGTTGTAGAGGCAGGTTTCCACATATTCAGTTGAATTTTGTGTTATATTGTGATATGAGTAATATTAAATTTTTATATAATACTCAATTTAAGAGGTACTGTTTTCATTCTATGTAAAGCCAAGGCATGGTATTTGTATGAGTTCTGATGACTGAGGAAAGGGCAGTACATTTCATTTTCTCTGCCATAGTCTTCCTTCTACTCAACTCTTCCTAACAGACATGAGACTTGGCCTGTCCATGGCTCACAACAGGCCCTTCAGAGTAGATGACATATTTGTGCTAGTTTATACCAAATGGGACTGCTTGACACAAGAATTTAATGGCAAATAAGTTTGATTGGCTTTATCTTCTCCATCACCCAGTACTGTTTAAGGTCTTCTTTCTCCCAATAGTAGGTTCCTTTACATAATCTGTGGGTAAATTTTTTCTTTGTAACATTATCTTTATAGTCAGAGTCTAATGTAAGTAGAATCATAGTGCTCAAACTAACCCAATGTTTGTGAAAGCCATTACAAATAATTTACTTAAAAGAATTTTTAAATTGATGTTTAGTGGGTGGCACATCATGACAGAAAATGAAATAGACTTGAGTATGTCAGTGTGAGGATAGCAAAACTGGCCTTTTTTTTTTTTCCACTTTTTTTGTGTTTTCTTTTGTTTTGTAATGAATGATATTTTCCCAAGTCAGGCAAACTCCTGTCAGGTTTTAGTTTACATGTTATTTCCTTCAGGAAGCCTTGCTCAGCCAGCAAAATCCAAATTCAGTCAATTATGGTACCTCATAGCAAACTGGTTTTTTCCCTCAAAGATTGTAATTACTTAGTTATTTGGGGGGTTTTGTTTGAATGGGCTCTCCATGCGGGAAGAGTGTTTTCTGACACTTTGGTCCAGGCTAGCACGTGGAAGGATTCAGTGTGTACACTTACTGTCTAAAAGACAAATGAACATCTGAAGGAAATGAGAGCAAATAGACAGGAATTACGTGAAATTATACCAAAAAAAGATTATTGGTATGTTAAGTGAATTTGAGGATAACATTTATCTGTTTTTTAATTCTAAAAAAAAAGATATTCATTGAGAGCAATTTGATAAATTTAGAAAACTATAGGGGAACATCACCTATTTTTCTGTCACTCAGAGGTAACCATAAATAAAACATGCATTTATTTCCAGTATCTTTTCCTTTTTCTTTGTGCCTCTCTTTACTAAAGAAAAGCTGTATGTGTGTTAGTGTTTATGTCTGTGTGTAATTGTGTATATATGTTTGTACTTGTGTATGTGTGTGTGTGTTTTAAGACCTTCCAGAGTAGCTTCTGTCACCATCTGTATCAGAATGGAGAAGGTAATTTTCCTTTGAGTAGCTAATCAGTTTTGAAGTGACTGTCCTCAAATATATGTACTTGAAATTTCTCCCAAAAAATTCCTCCAAAATTTGCTTATCTAATTCTCACTGGAGATGATAGAATAGTTATTTTTTTTATTTTGGAGATTAATTCAGTTTGATCACATAGATCATATATTATCACATATTTATTAACATGTTCTATATCATAGCATAAGTTTTGAAGTGTATATTTATATACCTTAATTTTATGTATACATAGGTGTGTGTATAGATATTTAAATTTTTTTGGCTTTTTCATGCTTGAGAAAGTCATCCTTTTACCTTCACACATACTTGGACGCAGATTTACTAGGGCACAGTGTTCTGTCTGAAAAGTCTGGAAGTGTGCTCCTTTGTGGGCAGCCTGTTCATTCTTTTCTGGTACCTCATGGTATATTTTCTTTATCCTGTTAATTTAAAAAAAAATCATCTTTATGATGAGCATTTGCAGTTACATACTCAAGCACTTATCTCTTTCTACTTACAGAAAAATTCTTCATTTATTTCTGTTATTCAGTTAATCTGATTTCCTCCTTGAGAGCAATCACAACTTTTTGTTCAGCTATCTATTTTCTGATCTCCATACTTTCTGTAGGTCTCTAAGTTTCTGTAATAGCACTGATTTGGTTTTCTAAAATGTGGCTTCCTTTTTTGTTGCCCTCAACATAGATTTTAATGTTGCCACTATTTGTTTGTTTTTTTTTGACATCCTCATTTACCTTATTCACCTTTCGTTTTGCTCATTAATTTAGCTTTTGGCTCCTAGGATCAATGTCTTTTGATATTTGAGGAAGTAAAAAAATTTCTAAAATCTTACTTTTGGTTACTATAGTAAATTAAATTCACTGAGCTAAGTAGTAGGAATGATGTTTCCTTTTCAGTTTCTGTAGCGTCTTCTCATAGGCTCTGTGGATTTTTCTGTTTGTTTATTTGTTCATTCATTCTTCAATACTTGAATGTAGGGAAAACTTTCCAAATTTTTGCCAGTAGGTGTGTAGTGAGTTGCGTTTGACTTCACTTTTTGCCAACTTACGTGCTAGTTGAATCTCCTCAGTGGCTGCATAGTTGCATGGCGACACTTGGTCCAATTCCCAGTTACTCACAGACTTGCATGTTTTGTTAGTTGGAAGCCTGATGTGGGTTTGCTTCCACCCATTTCCTTTTTAGCTGACTGATACTCTGATAAGATAATTTACATAAACAAACAAACAAACCTGTTAAGTCTTAGAAAATGGTTCTTATCTACCCAGAGACACAATTTAGCAAGTTTTAAACAGTTATTTTTAGATACTTCATTTGCTTGCTGGACAAATCAAGTTTCAGACATAATTAAAAATTGCAGTATCTGGTACTTTAAGTGTTTCTGTTAAATATTATAACAAATATAATAGATGTTAGATGAAGAGGTTAGTAGAAATGGAGAAAATTAAGCAAGATAAACCTTATGGATAGATTAGAATTATGGATAGAAAGTTTAACAGTGGTTGTGGGTATGATGTGGAGGTTATTAAAAATGACACTTGCTTTGAAATAGCTCCTTCTACCCATTTTAGTAATTCTACTAATTGCAGGCCATTTAAAAAATTTTTTATATGTATGTGTATATATATATATATGTATTTTTTTAAGAGATTGTCTTTGACCTCCCAGTCCAATATTTTTGTTTCTTCCTTAACCATACAGAGTTTTTTAAAAAGCATGTCATATAACTGTATTTGTATGTGCCTCACCTTTACTACTAGATCATAAGTTAAATGTAATAAAATGAAGTTGTCAGTACCTGGATCATTATGAGCTTTCAGTGACTACTTACTGAACCTGCATCTTTCAGAAGAGATACCATATCGTATATATATTTGTATCAAACTTTAGTCTTTGGTTCAGTCTTTTGGCCCTGCAAGGTGTTTAATAAGGGCTGTTGAGCAAATCCTTGAGAAGGTGTGAAACCGCAGACATTAACCAGAAAAGAAATATGCAGTTGAATGTTAAGAACTAGGGATCAGGAGTTGTAGGTCTAAAGACTCTAGACTCAACTTTCCTAGTAGACCAAGGTGGACTCAGCCTCATGGTGTCACGTAAGATTGAGCATAAACCTGGTGATATGAATGGATTCTGTGACTAAATAATGACCTAACTACATGTGATGGTTAAGAAAAGGGAAAGACATTACACTAAATGCTTCAAATACTTATTTCATTTAATAAAACTGAAAGCCAAGAGAAAACACAACGTCCAAGCTTATCTAAAAAAAGTACCCAAAAATTTTGTGGTGGGATTTTTCTTTTTTTGGTAGTGTTTAAAATGCAGGTGAATACTTTATGTTAAAACTCCTTTGTGGATTTTCTCAAAACCTGATTTTAACTCCTGTCCCATTGATTAAGAGGGAGAGTGATGCATTGAGTTATGTTTCTTGTGATAATCAGTGGGGCAGAAAGGGTCAAAGAAAAGTAGAATTCCATTTGAATCCCAAAGAGAAGAGCAGGCTTGTTTCTCACCCTATAAGTATTTGTTTCTGGAAAAAAAGGAAAAAAGAAAAAGAGAGGAAAGAAATGGAGATGAAAGATGAGGTTAAAATCTCATCTTGCAGTCTACCTATTAACACCTCATTGCTACATCATTAAGATGAGTAAGTGGAGGTTTGGGGTTCTAGAATTTATTTATTTTCCCTTAAATTCAAATGTCTTTCCAAGGGCTCCTGGACTTTGTATTATAATCTCCAGATACTTGGCAGTAACTTTCAGCTACCATAACCTGTATATATATTTATATATCATATGTATTTTTTTTTTTCTGTTGGCAGTGACTTATGGAGAAAATGTTGTTAAAAGAGGGATAATTTCTATGTAGGTGAAGTTAAATATATCAAGAGATGAAATAGTGAAAAGAATTGAGCAACTTAATGATTAGAATCTCTACTTTTAAAGAATATGTTTTCAAAATGAGAGAAATAGTATATTTTTTGTTTCCATGATAATCATTTATGTCTTCTATGCAGTATATGGTTGAAACTATGATTGAAAACTGAGGTTGAAAGTATGATTGAAAATATGTTAAATAGTTCTTGTTACATAATAGTAACTCATATACTTGACGTATCTGAATTGTGGAGACATGTCTTACATATCTTTATATTTTGAATGTTACTTTTTATGCCTGCCTGCTTTTCTTTCTGCCTTCCTTCGTGTCTTCCTTTTGACTTTATTTAAAAATATTTATTCATCTCCTTTTTGTGCAAAATGCCATGTAGAAAAGCTAAGGAAAATGAATGCCTGTATTCGAGGCACTTGCCAGTAGGAAGATAAGGCATATAAAATAAAAGATGCTTATACTAAACAAATAAGGCGACAAAAATTTCAGTAGTCCAAGTCGTTCCACGATGTAGGGTCATCAAGAAAGGCTTTACAGGGGAGATATATGACTTAGTTCTGGCATCAGTTCATTTATTTATGTTTTTCATTCATTCATTTAAAATACTTTTGAGGATCTACTATATTCCATGCATGCTTACAGACACTAAGAGTTCAGAGATGAACAACACAACTCTAGTCTGTGTTTTCATAGATTTTACCAGGTAGTGAAAAAAATGTACAGTTAACAAGATTATACAACAATTACAGAATTGTGATAAATGTTCTGAAGAAGACCTAGAAGATGCTATGAGAGCATACAGGAGGAGACCTAATTTAGAGGTCACAGGGAATTCTTTGTTGAGGAAGTGACATTAAAACAGCCTTGAAGAATTAGATATTAGCCAAATGAGGACTGGAGTTATGGGGGCATGGGCGAGAGGGAAGAATGTTGGCATAAGATGAAAACCAGTATGAAGGTCCTAAGGCTGGTATGATTTTGAGTATTTTGAGGACTGGAAGGTAAGCCTTTATGTGAGAAATAGGGCTCAAGGAAGGGAAGAGTATGAGGTGAAGCTGGAGAGGTGGGGAAGGGCCCATCTGTGCTGCTTTGAGAAGTTGCAATCTCATCAACGAAGGCACCCAAAGATTTAAACAAAGACAGCTACTGTTAGATGGCAGATAAAACTAAGTGAAAGTCAGGTAGCCAGTTATAAGGGTATCTCAGGAGTTGAGATTAAAGGTAATTGTACCTTGGATTGTGTATGGTTTTGGCACTGGAGATAAGAAGGGAATGATCCAGGATATATTTTCCAGGGAAAACAGGCAATACATGGTTCATTAGAAAGGGAGTATCAAGAAGACAGTAAGATTTCTTACGTGAGCAATGGTGGATCGTGATGTCCTTTGCTGAAATGAGGAACACTGTGACGTTTAAGATCATGAGCTCAAATTTGAGATACTCTCACTTTATGAAAACTATGTGACATCCAAGTAGAGATTTTGGATGGGCAATTGAGTAGACAAGTGTGAAAGTGTACCACTCAGAAGGGATGAAAGTGTGAGAGTCAGGGGCACAGAGTGGGATTTTGAAGCTATTTGCATCTTAAGAATGGATATTACTTCATCTAGAGGGTATCATGCTTTGTGAAATAAATCAGGCAGAGAAAGACAAATACTGTGTAATGTAAAATCTTTATCTTTAGATGTGGAATTAAAGAAACAAACAAAATGAATTGATAGCAGACTTAAATGTGTAGTTGCTGGAGGGGAGGAGCTTGGAGAGTTGGGCCAAATAGGTGAAGAGGATTAAAAGGTACAAACTTCTAGGTATAAAATAAGTAAACCTTGGGAGTGTAATATACAGCATAAGGAATATTGTCAATAATATTGTAATAACTTTATATTGAGACAGATGGTTACTAGACTTATCTTGGTGATCATTTTGTAATGCATGCAAATGTCAAATCACTGTGTAGTACACCTGAAACTAACATAATATTGTACATTAACTATATCTCAATTAAAAAGAAAAGAATGGATGTTATTTGGACCAGCGAAATATTTTTTCTTAGACATAATTTTTACCACATGATTTCAAAATACACTGCCTGGTTTTAATACACTTAAGAACAAATATTTTCCCCTCTTGAGTAACATTCCCCTAAAACAATAAGTTAAAAGGAGAATAAAATGCATTAATTGAACTTACTTTGTAACACTAATTGCTGGTACTTAGCTGTTATTGAATAGATACTTATTTTTGCCTTTAATTTCTTGTAAGAGATTCTTCTGTCCTCCCTCCATGCCCCCATAGAATCATTTGATGGTAATGTATTGGAATCTGTGATTGGTTAAATTATTTCTTATGTCAGGCAGTTTTGTAAGTAACATCTTTTCCCCCAAGGAATCAGGTTAAGGTAGAAGTCTTTTCAAAATTAAACAGAGTTATAATCATCATCTAATTTGTTGCTTCAAAAAGTTTTATTTTATGTATCCCTAATAGCTCATTTCATCAAATGTTTATGAAATCTTTCCCATCAAAGTTTTGTAACTGAAGTATGAAATGTGTTAACTCATAAGAATTTAAAAGCAGATTTTATTAAGTATCTATATAAACTCTGCTGAAGGTATTGGAGCTGACTTAATTTTTAGAAGAAACACTTCAAATGCCCCACAATATTATCAAATCTATGATATCTGTATTGTTTACAGATTGGCTTAAATTATGAGAAAAACACAATAAGCAAAGAAGGAACTCTTTCTGCACAACTTTGAAGGAATTGCTAAAGCAGAATAGGCAAGCAGTTGGCAATTCTTGCAGTTTATTGCAGATGTAACCCTGATCTAAAGGAAGGCTAGAATTATTCACGGAATAAATTCACCTTTTTTTAAACATTTTTTTACTGAATTATAGTCATTTTACAATGTTGTATCAATTTCCAGTGTAGAGTACAATTTTTCAGTTATACATGAACATTCATATATTCATTGTCACATTTTTTTTTGCTGTGAGCTACCACAAGATCTTATATATATTTCCCTGTGCTATACAGTATAATCTTGTTTATCTGTTCTATATATGCCTGTCAGTATCTGCAAATTTTGAAATCCCAGTCTGTGAATTAAATTCACAACTTAAAGTCAGCTCATTTTGTGGCTTCAGTGATAAAATTTTGACCTCTACTGGATTGAATTATCTGTCTAAAAATGCTTCATAATGATTTAAGATACTGGTAAAATTACAGTGTGTTTTTTTAACCTGAAGTTTCTAAAGTGTCACTATCTTTATCACTTCACAAATTTACTAAATAAGCTAGGGTCTGAGTACTGATTGATCCATGGGTTGACTTTTTTTGCACATATATCCAGATAGCTAAATAGCCCTTATATGCTTCTGGAAATTTGTGGATATGTATTATTTCTCTATGTGTAAATTTATTTTTAAAAGAATGCTTTTTTGTTTCAGAGTAATCATATTGTCATGTAATTTGTAGCACTGCTTTGTATCATTACTCATCTTTTGCTGTATTTTCTTTGTCCTGAAGGAATTGCCTACGATCCTCTGATGCTTAAACACCAGTGCATTTGTGGCAATTCCACCACCCACCCTGAGCATGCTGGACGAATACAGAGCATCTGGTCACGGCTGCAAGAAACTGGGCTGCTGAATAAATGTGAGGTAATCCTGAATTGGCCACACTCTTTTACTTACTTAAATAAATCATGTAAAGAGGTTGGCATTCATTTGGGCAGTTGTAGAAAAATGTTAACCCTATAGCACAGACACCATGATTGATGAACCATCCTAGATGCCAGTAGCATAGAACTTAGAACCTGACACTGGGCTGGGCACGCAGTAGGTACTCAGGCTGGGTTGATGGACTAAGTAGCTGCCTGATGTATGTGTGCTATTACTGCAGCATTTTTTTTGTGCACACAGTAGCATTCTTTTTTTCCAAATAGCTATCATTTATTGAGTTAATTTTCTGAGAAGCTCTTTGCATACTGTTAAGTACTAAGTAGTTGTTATTTCTTTTTATAAGCGATACTTTGAATTGACGTATATACCAGTTTTGCCTCATGGAAATGAATAGCTTTTAAAAGATTTACTGTCCTCTTACCAAGAAAAGTCACTTTTTTTAATTGATGTTTAGACTCATTTCTGTAGATTCTTGATGAGTCTCATTTTTTTATTTAGAAAAATCTGTTTCTTTAGGCTTTCAAAGGTTAAAAGTAAACATGGCATCAGGTCAAAAAAGCTCCCATTGTCAAATTTGCAAAATACATGACAACCAGCATGTGTTTGATTTAGTTGCTGTAAATGTCTTTTGTTGTCTAAGATCCAGTAACATTCTGTATTGGAAACTTTTTAAAAGAAAAATATCCCCCACGTATTTTCTTACATTACTTTAACATTTATTGATCAAAAGCATTTTTCCCTGGGTTTGTTTATATTATGTTCCAGATGTGTTCTAGGGATAGAATTATGGCATTTTACAAGACAAACATGGTTCCTATCCTTACAGACTGATAATTTCACATGTTATTTGGTTCTGTTATCCTTTATAGAGCAATGGAGAAAATTAAGTAGTTCTCACCAGTTTGGGATGAAAGTAAATAGATAATATTTTGACTATAGTTATGAAAAAACTGATAGATTGAAACCCTATTAAACTCATATACTTTGATAAAATAAAGACACAGTCTTTTATTAGTACTTTTGAGTTAATTTTTGACAACCCAAAATGTAGTAAAGAACACTTTATTCAAACCCAATTTAGTTTAAAGTGAACCTGTAAAATATATCAGTTGAAATAGAAATGCCAAAGCAGACAGAATGTTTCTTAGAATCAAGTGTACTTGCCTGTATTTGATAGCAGGAGTTTGTTCAGTCTGATCTTCTCTGAAGTAGAAAAATAACTGACTTTTGAAGATGTAAAGTCATTCATTCAGTGCCTTCATTTCTAAGGACAGATTATTTTCTTTATTGATTTTCTGTTTTGAAGATAAGTTATATATTTCGTCTTACAGGGGAACTAAGTGGTTATTTTCTTTACATCAAAACATAGATAATGTTTATTGGTCATTCAGCAGTTGAGATTGTGAGTGAATACACCAGTGCAGTGTGTGCAGGTTTAGTTTCACAAGTTTTATTTTATGCTAGTAATAGAATTATTTAATGGTTTTCATATTTAGAGTCTACTTTTGATTAAATGTATCCTTTACCTAGAGACTCCAAAGTGAAGGAATTTGAGTTAGATTTATTTCTCTCGTCCTTTCCTAAGTGAAAGTCTATTATCCATCTTTTGCCAGAATGGTCCATATTATATGGCAGAAGGCTTTCATACTCTTTAGTAAATTTTAGACTTATCTTCAGGGTTTTCATGTTTTAGGTAATGTGGTTTGGGGGCCACACCACTCTGTTGTCTGCACAGTCCTGCAGGGAGCACCAGTGAACTACCAAGCAGACTTATTTGTGGTCGACCGGTCTTACTTGACGTTTATCACGAGAACATTCCTCTCTCACCTTTGCACCTGCTATAGGTATTTTCTAGCTTGGCAGTTTCTCTGGTTTTGCCAGCTGAGGTATTATTGCCTTTTGCATTTTTTCACTTTCGAGTCTCTGTTATATCCTGGAGCCCCACCCTGATCACTCTAAATTAGCAGTGGTTGATCATGGCCTTAATGCTAGTTTGTGTTATTCCTTAAATCTGTTACCTGAAGGAACATTGTTTATAGAAGGAACAAAGTGCAGAAGTAGATGGAATGTAATATGGTTCACACTGGTCTTAAAATTTGAAAATTTATTATCATCCCTTTCTGATCGATCTTCTTTTTCAGTTCCTCAGACATCACTTTATTTTAGCCCTCTATTATTTGAAATCATAAAATTCAGTTTATACTGTAGCACAGACTAATGTGATATCAGACCCAGGATGAAATGCTAGAAGCATTGTGGGGTTGACGAGAATGAGCAAGTCTATTCCAATCCAGTCAGCTAAGTAGGAGTCTCTCTAGCGCACAGTCACCCAATTAACAAATAATGCACTTGAAAGTCCAGATCAGCACATTGGCTCTTTATGAAGTCCAAGCACAAAAGTCTCATCCAAAACTTTAATAATGTGAATGAAACACTTTTTCTTAACGTAGTTTAAGAGTAGTTCACCAGGTGTTTGCTTTCCTAAGTGATGAAACTGTTGCCCAAATGTATTTATTTACTCCTATGTTATTAAAATATCTATGACTTTATGACTAATCCAAAACATGAAGTGGAATTTATAAAGCCGTTAAAAACCAATTAACTTTGACACCTAGGAATTTAATGTCCCTTTGCCTGTCTGAATAATTTAAGAAATATTCAAAGTGGAATTTTAGAAATGATTATTCGCTAAACAAGTATAACCTTTCTCTAGAGACTTTCAGATTCTGTGTAAGTCATAATATCAAAAGGGATAAAACATACAACCAAAGGAAACACAACTCATTTTCTCTTCCTGAAACTGTCTTCTTCAAGAGTAGAGGAAGAATTAAAAAGGGAACATAACAGTGGTTATACCAAACCAGCTTAGCTCACGCAGAAACAGTAGAATCTGTTTCCTTAGCCGGTAGTCTCTCTAGTAAATGGAACGGAAACAATTGGTATCTGTTTGTTGTAAATTTTTCTTTTTTTTGATTTGACAAGTTAGTTCTGATATGCACATTTATTAATATATTATTAACCCTCCTGCAAGGATGCTAACCTTTCTCAAGTTAAATTATTTTGAAAATATCAGTGCTATGGAAAAAAAAGAAAAACAGATCTATACAACAAACTTTTAGAAATTTACCAAAACTTATTACACTCAGTTTCTGAAAAACCAGGAGAAAAGCCCACTGTAAGTGGCAGGTGGTCAGATACGTGGAGGATGCATTAAAAGGCAGGAAGTCTCCTATACTAATAGACTTCCTGGTTAGTGTTTATGAGGCTGCTAAAGAGATCAAGGCCAATGACAGTGTCTTGCAATTGGACTTATTCACTCCAAGAAAAGAAAAAGCTTGGGTGTGAATGAGTGTTTATCATTATGGCCCAAGGACTTAAGGAGAATTAGGCCTTGCTTTCTAAATTGTTTTGGTAGGACTGTCAGGAAGTTAAAATTCAGCTCTGTTCCTTGGTTATGTCTAAAGCATGCATTCCGAGAGGGTAAAAGCTATGTGTCTGGATTCCAGGGATTTGAGTACCAGCCCTAGTGTCTGGGTTATCATTTTCTCCTTAGTGATGTGGATCAAATTCCTCTCTTGGTTGCAAGAAATAAGAACTCATCTCAATTTTCTCAATAAAGAGAGGATTTATTAGATTTCATAGGAAAGGATATAACTGAATAGGAATATTACACATACAAGCTGGAGCAATGTATTGTTTTCCAGTGTCCAGATAGCAATTTACCATCTTTGGACACTATTTTCCTGCCAGGTTTGTGTAGCCACCCATAGTTAGTGATCAACCTCTGCTTCCAGGAAAGATCGACAGAGCTCTGGGGACATATTGCTGGTCAGCAAGCAGAAACCTGTGTCTAGATAAGCGGTATTCATTTTATTGATTACAAGTGGTGCCCAAATGTTAGCATATATCAGAATCATTGGTGGGGTGAAGAATAGGAATGTTAAAATATGGATTCCTGGGCTCTAACTCAAGAGTTTTAGATTCAGTAGGAGTGGGGTCCCATAGGGTGGGGGTGGGGGGTAAGAATTTGTATTGCTGAGATGTGTCTGGATCATCCTAATATTCTGTTGCTGATCTGGGCACCATACTTTGAGAACAGTGGTATGGCCATATTCAACAGTCCTTACCAAGAATTTGAGTTTCCCAGACTCCTGTGTTAGGAGCTAGAGATAAAATGCTGAGATTATACCCCTGCCTTCAAGGTAGTTACCATCTGGGAGATCATCAGATGTCATCAAATGAACACACAAATATGTGACTACAGACTCTTAGGGGGTTTTAAGTCACTAGTTTTATATTGTGATTTTAAAGACTCGTTGATTCAGCTTGGGGAACGAATAAAATAAGAAAGGCTGGTCAGCTACCTCCAAAATCATGACATCAGAGAGGCTCTCTCAGCAAGAGACAGAGGAGGAGATGTTATAATTAGAGTTCAAAGGACAAAGTATCTCAAACCTGAAGTTGAAGAGCTTGCCCTCCTTCCGTTTTTGTTCAGGCTCCTTTGTCTATTCAGGTTACTATTTCACTGGGGAAAAAGATAAGGAGCCTCAATTCTGCTGGCGTAGAGAGAGAAGTCTGCTTTCCTCAGTGAATGAAGTAGTCAGTTTTGCAATTAAACAATAATTATGATAGAAAAGATGGCAATTTGAAAATATCAAAAGGGCTTCTTTGTTTTAAAACAATAGACTGATCCACAAATCAAACTTATTTCACTTCTTTTATCAATCTAGAAAATAGTCAAAATGGGTTTCCTCAAAAGTTATTGTTCAACATTAGATATGACCTCAGTCCTGCCGTTAATTATCTGTGTACTTTTGTCAAATCATTTAACCTTACCGATCTTCGGTTTTCCCATACGTAAGGTGAGGGTGTTAGGCAGGATATTTGCTAGGATCTCTTTCAGCTCTAATGTCATATGAAATTAGGTGGCTAAGAAATTAATTCGGAATATAACACTTTCTTTGGTTAAGAGTAGACAA